CAGTGTTCACCGTTATAAACATCGTCAACATGTCAGGATTCAATTTTTGATCAATTGGTGTTTTAGAAATCTCTTCTCTTCTTGATTTAATAATATTATCAATATTATTCCTTAACCAATTAATTTTGTCTTTTAAGTTTTGAGTGTATCTACTAATTCCAGGGAAATTTCGAACAATTCTTGGAATAGAATAGAAATAAATAAGACTATGAGAACATGCATCCACGGATTCCACAAACGTATTGCATTCTTTAAGAATGCTTTCTGATATATTTGATTTTTCATTTGGGGTTACTTTATTATAATAATTTGCTAATCCATAGGCAGGTTTACTGGTGGTAATAATAAAAATAGTATCAAAAAAGTATTGCTTCATCCAAAGATTAAATTCCAATACTTCATCTTCTCCAAGTTTCTCCCAATATTTTTCCATTTCCAGAAAATTATCTTGTAACACCTTCACAGATTGTCTAGTAAATGAAGGTGACACTATAACTTTGTTAAAGAATTTACGATGAAAATACCAATCGTCAAAATTATTATTCACCACTAAACCAGTGTTCAATAGACCAATTTCCTTAAAACCTTGATGATCATCAATTATTCTATTATGAAATGGGTTATGAATGATTGGCTTCATGATCTTTTGAATAAGGTCAGCACTACCCAACAAAATAAAACGGTCGGATCCCATATAGATTTCACATAAATCACCATATTTAGCTTGCACTTTTTCCACGTCAAAAGTGAAATTTTTAAAAATTAGAAAAGTATTACCAACAAATGGAAAGGGAAAGGGACCAGGAAGTGGATTCTCGCGTGTAAAATATTTGTAATAATAATATGAGGTATAGGCAATTAAAGAAATTAACGATATCTTCAATATTTCATACGAAAAATTTATGGAGAACACCCAGGAAAGCATCTTGAAAATGATGGGAAAGAAGTAGCAAACATTCCATTTAAATACATGCTACAATTAAAAATGCGGGCAAATTTTCACATGATTACCGTTTAAGGGAATTTACCAACTCATTTCACCCCACGTGAAGCATATAATTTTATTGGCCCATAATTTAACAGGTGATCAAAAATAAATCACGTGTTAAGTTCATGTGATAAATCTTGATGACAAATATTGAGTGACGAATATGGATTCTGTTCATTCTGTACCCAGGATATTTAATAAAAATCGAAGGTGTAACACACGGTGATAAATATTCTACCCTTGACAAAACCTAACCCATGCATTTAGACACGTGGGAGTGAAAATCTGGTGGTGATACTGGGTAGCGTTTAAGGGATAACCATACAGCATACCAACCGTGCCAAAAAAAGAAATCCATTGTTCTGTATATTTATCTAAAAAAAAAATCGATACATAGTATTCTATGCTTAAGTACGATCGTTCTAAACAAGAAATCAAAATTTTTGTATAAATATCTAAAAAAATGAAAATGACACGGCGCCAAAAAAAGGAAAAGATAACTTTTTCCAATTTCTTTGAATTTTTATCATAAAACTTAACTTATTTAGTAGGCTATATATCGTGTACAAAAAAAGTACAATTTTTTTTTGTATTCACAATAGTTTAGTAAAAAAAAACTAACAATTGTTTATTGTTTCGTTTTCTTTAATCAATAATCAAAATCAAAAATCAAAATCAACAGTCTTCAAAAAATGGATTCATTCATTCATTTTATTATCATCATTATTTTAGTGATGTCTCGAGTAAACGAATACGTGTTTGAGTATGGAATACCAAAAGTATTCCATGAAGGTGTGCTTCGTCGAGTGACGTTTTCGTGATTCTTTGTAAATCTACGAAGAGAGTGACTTTCCACTACCTTCTCGCACTGCCGTAACTTTTATGAAATTGATTCTTACATTTTTTTATCATAGTCGAAAAAATGAAAATGCTAACCAAAATTTTTGTAGATCATTAGAAATACCGGAATCAAAAAAGCACCTCGGATAACCCACGTGTGGTGATACTGGGGTAGTGACAATATCAACGATCAACGATCAAATCAGTTTATTTTTTTTAAAAAAAAAAATAAGTAAAAAAATGACTAATTTCAAAATAATTCGAAATATCAAAACCGAATTTGGTGGAATTGAAGTTACTAAATTAAAATCAATTAAAACTGGATTATCGGTTGTCTTTATTAATGTTGAAGGTAGTTATAGAAAAGAATTTGAGATTTAAATTATAGAAAATTATTAATAATTATATATAAAATATTCTAATTCATATAATATGTCTAATATGTAACATATTATTATTATAATATATATTTTTAATAGCACCAATTGTTAATGGATATTTTGCTCTCGCTACTGAAGGTATAAAATAATTACTTCTATTAACAATATTTAATATTTCTATATTGATAATATTTATAATATTTATAATGTTTCAATATTTATAATATTTATAATGTTTCAATATTAATAATTACTTAAATATTAATAATATTTATAATATTTCTATATTAATAATATTTCTTTTTTTATAATATTTATAAAATAGCTTTTGATGATTATGGATGTCCTCATACATTAGAACAGTAAGAAATCAATCAAATCAATCAACTAATAAATAATTATTTATTCATTTATTTAAAATAATTAATTAATTTTAAATTAATAAAAATTAATTCATTAAAATTAAATAAAATAATTATAACAAAAATAATAGTCTGGTATTTTTGGGTAGTGAATTATATCCCTACAATGGAGTCTTAGATGTATTAGCCAATCAATCATTAGCTCAAAGCACTAATGCTTGGACAAGTCAAGATAGCACTTGTTATACAATTGACACGGCAGGTAGTCAAGGATTTTTAAATTTATTACCAATATATGTAGATCATATTTTATTTCCTACTTTAATTGATAGTGCTCATTATACTGAGGTAAAAATTATTATTTTTATATTTGAGTGATTTATATTTGAGTGATTTATATTTGAGTGATTTATGTTTATTTTTTTTATTATTATTTATTTTCTAAAAGGTTCATCATATTAATGGAAAAGGCGAAGATGCTGGTATATAATTTTATTTATTATTATTAAACAAAATATAAATATTATTTAAAATATTATTTAAAATTTTTTTTTTCCTATCTTCTTTTTCTATCTTCTTTTTTATTCTAGGGGTATTTATCTATTATTATTATTATTATTATTATTATTATTGGTTATTATCATTATTATCGGTTATTAATTGAATATATATATATAGGTTGTTTATTGTGAAATGCAGGTAAATAATTATGTTAATTTATATTCATTATTATTTATCAATTAATATCATTAATATTATTAATATATTATTTATAGGGAATAGAAAATAGTGCTGATGCACGTTTTGAGAACGAGTAATTATATTATTTATTATTAATTATTTATTATTATTATGGTTTTATTTTTATTAAGGATCATAAATAATATTAATATTAATCTTATTACTTTTAAAGATATCAACATTTACTGTATCCAGAAGGAAATGGTTATCGTAGTGATACCGGAGGGAAAATGGAGTGCCTTAGAAAACTTGGAGTTGAGAAAGGTATGAATTAAATTTATTAAATTTTCTTTTTTGTCTTTTTTCTTTTTTATTATATTAAAATTTATCAAAAAAAAAATGTTATATTAATTATAAATGAAACAGTTCGTAAAGTAAGTATTCATAAATTTATTAAAATTTATTTAATATTAATATCTAACTATATTATTATATACACACTCACATATATATCTCTCTTTATTTATATAGTACCACTCAGATTATTATAAACCTGATAATTTATGTTTAATTGTCACTGGTAAACTTGAAATGAATGAATTATTGAAAAAACTTGAATCTCTGGATGAAAGAATTGCTTTAAAAGGAATTCCACCTTCTCATAAAAGGTAAATTATTTTATTTATTAAGATTACATAATATAATATAATATATAATAATAATATATAATATAATAATAATATATATTATAGTAATAATATATATTATAATAATAATGATATATTTTACATAAATAGACCATTTGTAGACTCCACACCAATTCCGCCATTAGAGAAATCTATACAAAAAGTAGTAGAATTTCCAGATGATGATGAAAGTATAGGACAAGTAATGATTATTTGGCTTGGTCCTTATATTCATGTGAGTTAACACATTTAACATATAATTTTTTTTATATTTTATTATTATTTCATCTATAATATTAACATTATATGTATCTCTCTCCGATAAATAAATGTTAATAGGAATTTCTGGAAATTAGAGCTTTAAATATATTGCATGAGTAAGTAAATTTATTATTAATAATAGATATTTTTTATTTATTTATTTATTTATACAATATTATATACAATATTAATATGTAACTAATAATGTACTTATTAAATATAATAAATATAATAAAATAATAGATACTTATCAGATTCAGCAATATCTTTATTGCAAAAGGAATTTGTAGAAATTGAAGATCCATTGTGCACAGGTGATTATATTATTCATATGTTATCACACATATATTATTCATACATATAATATATTATTCTCACACATATATAGATATCGAAATTGATATTAGAGAACAAACTCGTACAACAATTATTGCCAAATTTGAAAATGTGCCAGTGGAAGATTTAGAAGAATTAGCTGAACAAGTTTTTAAAGTTTTTAAAAGAATTGTTGAAGAAGAAAAGGATGGAATTGATATGGATAGAATGCAAAATGTTATACAAAGAGATAGATTGAAGGTAAATTAAATTATTAGTTATCAATTATAATTTAATACCAATTTTAATTTAATTAATCTAATCTAATTATATTTTATATCCATTATATCCATTTTATCCATTATATTATATCTACTATATATATATATATATATTATATCCATTATATCTATTAGATGCTAAATGCAATTGAAACACACCCTCATTCTATATTCTCACATGCTGCCATCATTGGTAATATTTAATTATTATAATAATACATATAATAACATATAATATATAAATATATAATTTATTAATTTTTATAATTTATATAATTTATTTAGATCATTTATATGGCAAAGGTGATGGTTCTGATCTTGAAGAAGCTACCAAGAATTTGTGTTTTTATGACGAAATTGCAAAATTCAGTGAAAATACATGGAAAGAATATTTGAAAAAGTAATTATTAATATATGATTATAATAACTGATAACTTATTAATTATTAATTATAATAATAATTAACAACTATTAATAATATTAATAATAATTAATTATAGATATTATATCAATAATCCACATATAATTATACTTGGTAAACCATCATCAAAATTTGCCAAGAAATTATCAAAAGAAGAGAAGAAACGTATAGAAAAACAACGTCAAGAATTAGGACCAGAGAAATTAAAAGAATTAGAAAAAAAATTGGAAGAAGCAAAAAAAATAAATAATATTCCTATACCTTCAGAAATTATTGGTAATAATAATTATTTATTTTATTATTCTTCTTCTTATTATATTATATTTATTGTATTATTATTATTAAATTAATTTATTATTATTATTAAATTAATTTATTATTATTATTATTATTATTATTATTTATTATTATAGAGAACTTTCCAATTCCAGGGGTTGAGACAATTCCATTTATTAATGTTATCACTGGACGCAATAAATCCGAAGGAAGGAAGAATGTTGTCCAAGAATATCTTGATAAAGATATTCCATTAAAGGATTTACCTTATTTTATTCAATATGATCGTATGTAAACAAATAATATTATTCTACATCTTTTTTTAATGATTAATATAATATATTAAATATTAAATATTTAAAATATAAATAAATAAATAGATATCAATTCAGCCTTCATATCAATATCATTATACATTATCACTACCACAATTCCTATTGAACTTCGTCGATTACTTGAAGTATATTTAGAATCATTTTATGGTTTACCTTTAAATAATAAAGAAACAGGAAAACAATTATCATTCGAAGAAGTAATTTCTGAACTCAATAAAGAAACGATTAGTTATGATTATTCATTAGGTGTTGGTGGAGGTTTTGGAGAGATTATTCGTTTGGAAATTAAAGTTGAAGTAAGTTTAAAGTTATTATTATTCTTCTTCTTCTTCTTCTTATTGTTATTATTATTATTATTATAATATTATATTATCTTATTAATTTTCTTATTATTAATTATTAATTATATATATATATATATAAAATATATAAATAAATAAAGGCAACCAAATATAAAAAAGGAATTCAATGGTTAAAAGATTTATTATGGAATACTGAATTTACAGCTGAAAGGTAAATTAATTATAGCTAAAACATATTTAATATTATTTAATTATATATTAATTATATATTAATTATATCAATTAAATTAGATTGAAAATTTGTGCTACAAAATTATTAAATGATATACCACAAGCTAAACGTGAAGGATCTAATGTATGTAATTATTATTTATTTTATCAATTTATTATTATTGTTGTTGTTGTTATCATTTTTTAATTTTAATTTTTATCATTTATTAATTATAATATCAACAATATCAATTTAATAACAATTTATTAACATCAATCGTTTATTTAAAGATGAGTAAAACTGTATCAGAAACAATTCATTATAATCCTAATTCTAACAAATTTGCATTAAATGTATTGAATCAAGAACGCATTCTTCCTCAAGTTATTAAATCATTAGATACAAATCCTAAATTAATTATTAATGAATTTTCTAAACTTAGAGAGATTTGTAAGTATTATTATTATTATTATTATCATAACTATAGTTTAGTTATTTGTAATTAATTAATTATTATTATAAAGTGTCCCGTCCAGAAAACTTTAGAATTCATGTGGTAGGCGATATATTAAAACTAAATCAACCCAAAACAAGTTGGATTGATAATTTCAAGGTTATTTCGGTAAATATTAATTAAATTATTATTATAATATATTTATCATTATATATGTTTGCTCTATTCATTCATTTATATTCATCATTATAAATTTATTATTTTATTCATAATAGAATATGCCACCTTTATCTCCTATACCATTAGCACAACATGTATTAACTGAGTCTGGACGTTGTCCTGGTAATAAAGTATGTTGTATTTTAAATTATATTATTTAATCTGATATTTATTTATTTATTTATTTATTTATTTTATTTATTATCTGTTATTTATTTAAGGGTTACATTATTAAATTATCAACAATCGAGAGTAGTTTTTCTATCCATGTGGCAAAAGGTAAATATATTCCATTCTTAGGTCATCTATTGGAATATTTCTACATTATTTATTTTATTTTATTTTTATTTTATTTCATTTTATTTCATTTGTTTTATTTTATAGGTCCAAATACGTTTGATTCCCCGGATTTAGCACCTTTAATGGTATTATTTGAATTATTACAAGCATGTGAAGGATTATTCTATAAAACTATTCGTGGACAAGGATTGGCATATGGTGTTATGCTTTCAATTAGTGTGGAATCAGGTGAGTTTATTATATATTTTAATATTTATTATTATTTTTTTTATTGATTTTTTTTTTTTAGGTCTTCTTTATTTTATTTTATACCGTACACCTGATAGCTATAAGGCTTATGATGCCGCAAGAAATCTTATAAATGATTTAGTTGCAAAGAAGGTATTTATAACTTCATTATTATTTATTATTAACTATAATTCATTAATATTATTATTAATTATTAATAATTTGAAGGTTGGCTTTGGAGATGGATTTGAAGGTGCTAAAAGTGGAGTCATTCATGAACTTGTTAATCAAGAGGTTTGTTGTTTTGTTATTACAGATAATTTATTTAATTTACATATAATTCATTTAATTTAAATATAAAATATAATTTACATCTAACTTACATCTAATTTTATTTTAATCAATTTTTTCATAATAGAGCAATATCCAAAAAGCGGTAAGTTATTGGTGATATTATCATTATTATTATTAAAAGAAAGAATTGAAATTTATTTATTTAAAAAATAGGCAAAACAATCTTTTATATTGCAAGCATTAAAAAATTTGGATGCATCTTTTAATAGAGAATTAATTTCCAAAGTTCAGGTATTATTGTTATTATCCTCTTGTAAATTCTAAACATTTTAAAGATTGATATAATAATAACATTATTAATATTGTTATTTTTATTATGATTATTTTATTAAACAGAAAGTGAAATTTGAAGATCTTTATAGTATATTAATAAAATATATTGTTAGTTTGTTCTTACCTGAGACCTCTAATACTGTAATTATTTCTACTCCTAATAATGTTGAGGTAAATATTTTTTTTATTAAATAATTATTTTTAATTTATTATTTAATTTAATTGATTTATTATTTTTTTTCATTTTTATTAAACTTATCAATAATTATCCATTTTTATAGAGTATTCAGGCATCATTTAAATCAAATGGTTTTGATTTTAAAATAAAGAATTTAAATGATATTTTAAATTAAGTTTTTTGATTTATTACTGTTATTGTATAAATTATTATATATCAAACTAAATTTTAAATTTTTTTATTATTAATTATTGAATTTGTTAAATTATAGAATAATTAATAAATTTATTAATTATAAAGCTAAAATAGTTATTTCTGTTTAATTAATAATTTCTAAATTTACAATCTTCCAATGTGATGTGATCTTTGTAAATATTATACTTAATAAATATTATTAAATAAATTAATACAATAAATATAATAAATTGTATAATTTATGTATTTACTATTTTTTTAAAAAAAAATAATCTTGAAAGTATTAGTATTCATTTATGTAATGATGTCATATAAGAATTTTTGATCATATACTCAAGATCATAATCAATGAAGATATTTTAATTAGTGAAATTTGAATAAATTTTAGCAAAAATGTTAAGAACATTATCAAAATATTATATTTTCAAAATAGTCAATATAAAGAACAAACCATATTTGTCATTTCTAAATATGTCACATTTTATAAAGCTAAGATTTTTGGAAGAGCTTGAAAAAGTCTACCAAAAAACAATCAATTGAAGTAGCTAATTAAGAATGGTTCAATTTAGCCAAACTTAAAGGAAAAACAAACTATACTAATATCATTATTCAAATTTAAATTCTTCTGTCAAAAAGATAAAATGTTTAAATTATATAAATTATATCAAGTAAATTATTAAATTTAAAAGAAATACATATCATTTATATCATTTGCATTAATATAAAATGTGATAACAAATGATAATATTAACAGTAGTAAAAAAAATCATTGAATTAATGTAGAACAATTATCATTTTTAAACTTATTATACTTAAATTAATATGTATACACAATGTTGTTGAGGCAAGGTTGGAACATTTTTTTTATTTTTAAAAAAATGCTAATAGCTCAATTTTATTAAGATAACTTTGAACAATTAAATAAAAATATTTTAAAATTTAAAATTTATATTATTTTTGATATAGCTTTATAAGTTAAATAAAGATTGGAACATATTAAACAAGATGTAATAAGGTCAAAAAAACTTGGAACAGTTAAAATGTACAACACTGTGTATACCTATTAATAAAAAATCAATAAAAGTATATAGAATTACTAAAAGCTAAGGTGAATAGTATCTTTCAATAGTTTTATTAATTTTATATCATTATAATAGAAATATATTAAAAATTATAAATAAATAACTAAAATTTTAGACATTAAAATTAAAAATAGACATTAGTATCTGTATTATATGAAAAATAAAAATTATACTAATGAATAACTTATGATACTGGTCAAATAAAAAATAATAAAACATTTTTATATAGTTAATTTTTTGATTTACAGTAAACCTCTCTATAGTCACACCTTCGGAATACAAAAACCAGTAACTATATAGAGATGTGACTATTATAGAGGTTTCTCTATGTAGTTATAGTTATATTAAAAAATATATATATAACTATATAAAGAATTATTTAAATAATTTAAATAATAAAATCAAATAATAATTGATTTTGACTTTTTTCCTTGTTCTCTACTAATTATTGAAAAAGTTGAATGATAAAGTATTTATTCAATACTAAAAATAATAAAGAGAAGTTATGAAAACATATTATTTAAGGATGTTATAAAAATAAAAATAACAAGGATGATATGATGAAGTTATAAATATATAAGGAAGCTTGGAAATTGAGCAATATAATATTGAAATAGATATATTATAATTAAAGTGGATGAATATTAATTTGTTAGTTCTATATAAAAACTAACTGGTACTTTCTAAAATTCAAGAAATAATCAAACTAGAAGTTTTGTACCTATGGGAAAGACTATAAACTTCTTAAAAGAACCATTGAGTGGATGTTAACAATAATACCTATAACAACAACATGGTTTTATTAGTAATTATATTAATTCAAAAACCTTTGAAATTATATCACAACATTAGATTTCAAAGGTTATCGATTGTGTTGCAACCCTTCGAAATTAAAATTTAATGGTTAAATTTCAATACGTATTATTTCATTATTGAAAATCTTTGAAGTTCAATGTTAAATTTTTTAATGATAACATAAACTTTCAAAATTCAACAGCTAGTATTTTAACGTATTTTGTTTCAGGTTTATCATTTTCAGATTATTTCAAATTTAATTGTTTTAATTATAATTCAATATATATTATAGAAAATTTCATTTTGTAATATTTTATTACTTTCTGAATTTTTACATAATTTATTATTAATTTTATTATTAAAAGATGATAATAAATATTTTATAATATTTAATTCTATTTTTCTATACATCTTCATATGATAATGCAATAATGTAAAGTAACTATTTTCTATATAATTCTTAAATATAATGCAGTTTTCTATTTTCTATAATATTATATTACTTGATACCTCTTTTCATATTTATTCTTTTTTAAAAAGAATAATATTTTAGTTTTTGTTTTGTTTTTTCGTAATTTTACAAAAGTTTGAAAGATATTTATTTACCTTTTGAGATTTTTTCAAATTTCTTTCAAATTTCTTATAAATTTTCTATTATAATAATTAAAGTTAATATTATATAAATTATATCATATATCTTTAAAATACTTATATATAATTAAATATTATAACATTTTGTGATTCGAAGTAAATTAATTTTTTTAAATAAATAATTTAAATACTTATATTTTTGTCATAAATATGTTAACAAAGGGAGAACCTGTTATTATTCTAAATACTATTACATAAAACCTTAATGTAATTATTTAATAAATAAATTCTTTAAAAAAAGATTTTTAAATTATATAGAAAAATTTTAAATTTTTTTACCTTATAAATTTGCAAAAATAACTTATTAGTTTTCATCTCTTTGAAGATATTCTATTGACAAAATAAATAATAGAAAAAGATAAATATACTATTTCAAGATGTTTTATAAGTATATGTTAAAATTAATGAGATATTCCTAAAAATAAACAAAGTACAAAATATATTTATTTACTTGTTAAGTTATAAAATAAAGTCAACGCTGTTACAGAATGAAAATATCATGATAATATAATATTGAAAGCACCTGCAATAATTTATAATAACCCTTAAAATAATATTTAGAATTTAATTAATGAATATTAGTTCATGTAACAAATA